GCATGCGCTACCACGCCCGGCTGATTTTTTTGATTTATTGTAGAGATGAGGTCTCACCAACTTGCCCAGGCAGATCTCGAACCCGCGGGCTCAGGAACAGTGCACCTTAAACCCTCCTTCGGGTTCATGGATGACCCCGATGGACATCTCGGGGATTCTCCTTTCCACGTTCAGATTAACTATAACCTTTTTGCTTATTTCCTTGTATTTTTTAGTGAAAATGTGAATATATTGTATTTCTTGGAGTACTACACAAAGCCCTACTGCCGATTTGGGCCATTCCTTGTAGGCCTCTTTCTGGGCATTTTCATGCACCAAACCACCAGGAAACCATTCTCAAAACCAAGGTATGGTTTCCCCACGCCTCACAGTATGGACCTGGGTTTGGCTGGGATGGGTGTGTCCCCTCTGGCCAGGTTCTTCCAAGCCCTGGGCGGAGTTAGACTGCTGGACCTTATCACATTCCTAGCACATGGTGTATGCCCAAATTCCTCCAATCTGGCTGATGCATCTTCATTTCTAGCTTCTACAACCTTGAGTTTGGTCTATTCAATCCTTCTACCTTGTGTCTTCAGCTCAGCTTGACTTGTGTTCATGCTCCGGGCTCCCTGGCCCTGATCTTTGGGCTTGAAATGGTTCCCAAATGCTCTCTCCTCATCTTGGATTTTTCCCTTTGCTCACCCTCATTTCTTCCATGGCCTCCACGTAACCTGGACTATGCTGAAGCATCTCTTTAATGGTACTTAAGGGGCACTTGTGCTGTAGTGTGTTGTTGATGTCTCTTCATGCTAAAGAATAGGAAGGACTTAACTTCTTGTTCGAGCTCAATTATCTGTCTGATTTTCGCTGAGTTCTCCTAACAAAACTCCAGAGCCCGTGGGAGCCCTGGTGCAGACCCAAAGAAACCAGTGAGGTGGGAAAACACACCCAGTGTGATTATAATGACAAGACCCTCTTCTGGAAGAAGATAGTTGTATTGGATTTTAACAGCACGCGCTCTATGGTTTCTGTAGGCAGGATTCTGGGATTCAGAAGCTGTTACTTTGCCTTTCACGTATTCCCTGAGCACACGTTTTCTTTTCTGGCTCCTTTGTGGGCAGTCATTCTGGTTCCCCATCCAACTTTGTTACTCAAGCTGGAAACCTGGGTTCATCTTGGACGCCTCCTCATTGACTACGCCCCCCCAGCCAACCAACCACCAGGCCAGGTTGAGAGTTTTTCCTGTCGCCCTCTCTGAGCCGCCGCAGCCGACCTTGTGGAAGCTCTTTTCATCTCTTGCCTGGACTTTTCCACTCGTTTCCTTGCCTCCGGTCTGGTTGATTTCAAATCCACTCTCAGGATGATCTATTTTTTCACTCTGTGGCCCAGGCTGAAGTGCAGTGGCACACTCCCTGCCACCCCAGCTTCAACCTGCTGGGCTCGGGCGATCCTTCTGCCTCAGCCTTCCAAGCAGCCGGAACGACAGGCACGCGCTATCACGCCCAGCTAATTTTTGATTTATTGTAGAGACGAGGTCTCGTCAAGTTGCCCAGATGGGTCTTGAACCCGCGGGCTCAGGTAGTTAATTAATTTTTTGAGTTGGAGTCTCACTCTGTCACCCAGGCTGGCGTGCAGTGGCACACTCATGGCCACCACAGCCTTGACCTGCTGGGCTCTGGTGATCCTTCTACCTCAGCCTTCCAAGTAGCCAGAACGACAGGTGCACGCTACCACGCCCGGCTCATTTTGATTTATTGTAGAGACAGGTCTTGCCAAGTTGCTGAACTCGCAGGCTCAGGCAGTCCACTCATTTCGGCCTCCCAAAATGCTGGGATGACAGGCTGACTCACTGAACCTGGCTGGGGTGATCTATTTAAAACGCTTCCTTGGTCATGTCCTTGGAGTGTGCAGAACCTTTTGGTGCTTTCTTTTGGCCTCTAGGATAAGGCCTGATCTGCTCAGCAAGCCCTCACAGTCCCGTAACATGGTTTCTCCAGTGTCATCTCTCTGGCCACTCTCTGTCTTGCACTTTGCATGTCGGTGATACTGACCTGTCTGCCGTACCTTTGACCGCCACCACTGTCACACACGCAAGCTATTGCTGGCATCCGTGCAGCTGCTTATGCTTCCTTCTCTGCCTGGAATGTGACCCTCCAGCCTCCAACTTTCCCCCTCACCCCTCCCTTTCATCTGACTTAACTCCTTACTATTTAAGCTTCAAAGGTCCCCTAGAGTTTACACCTCTGGGAAGTCTTCCTTTGACTGTTGGCTGGGCCGTGTCCCTTCTTTGTGTTCCTCCGTGCACTCTGCATTCCTATACCCACCCAGGTTCTTGTCTACCCCATAGACTGTGAGCCCCTCAAGGGCACAATCCATCTCACACACCTCTGAGTCACACCAGCCTCTGATTCTGACATCCCGATTCACTGGAGACACTCAGTACATGACTGAATGAAAGACAGTTTGGGCCGGGCTCGGTGGGTCAGCCTGTAATCCCAGCATTTTGGGAGGCCAAGGTGAGTGGATTGCCTGAGCCTGCGGGTTCGAGACCCGCCTGGGCAACTTGACGAGACCTCATCTCTACAACAAATCAAAAAAAATTAGCCGGGTGTGGTAGCGTGCACCTGTAGTTCCAGCTACTTGGAAGGCTGAGGCGGAAGGATCGCCGGAGCCCAGCAGGTCGAGGCTGCGGTGGCCGGGAGCGGCCACTGCATACCAGTCTGGGTGACAGAGTGAGACTCCAACTCATCAAAAAAAAAAGACAGTTTGCTTCTTAATAGAAGGAGGGCTAGGGATTCTCTTGCACCCTGAGGATACAGCTCCTGCCTAAACCCCTCTACTAGGCCCTACCTGTGTTTGTTTGCCTAGGTTTTGGGGGTGCCTCACCTTGATGTTTCAGAGAAGAGGCCTCGTGCTTGGAAACTCTCCCTGTGCTGCTCAGGGCAGGAACAGGAGATAGGATTTATTGGAAGGGATATACAGGGGCTTTGTGACTTTGTGCCTTTTTCCATCGGTTGGAGTTAGGATGTTTCCCTGGAAATGCAAAATTCAGTTGTAGATTACAACTGGGTGCCATTAAAGAGATGCTTAAACATAGTTCAGGCTATACACAGCCCAGTGAGACAATGAATGTGAGCAAAGGCAAATCCTGAGATGAAGAGGGAGCATTTGGGGATCACTTTGAGGTCCAAGGTCAGGATCAGGAAGCCTGGAGCTGGAACATAAGCCATGCTAAGCTGGAGAGAAGTAGAAGGGTTGGCTAGGTCAAACGGAAAGGTTTAGAAGCCAGAAAATAGCAGCGTTCAAATTAGAGGCCTTTGGCAGTACACCATGGGTTAGATGTGATGAGGCAGGATGCGCCGTGTGTAAAGACAGGCAAAGGCAGAAAGAGGACATGGTGCCAGGTTGTGTCTTGAGAGACTGCAGGCCCATTTAGGCCAAGAATTTGCAAAGCAATGAAGGGGACCCCAGACTCAAAGAGTGGAGTGCCCCTGAGGTTATACGTTTCCTCCCCTTCAGCCAGAAACTAGGGCAGAACCTAAGACCTAAGTGGATCTCAGAGACAAGAGGGCGGCCTGACAGGACGTGGATTCAGTCCACTGTAGACATCCTTCCAGCAGCTTGAGAACCAGAGCACCAGGAAGCCAGAGAACGCCTCAGGAGATAGGCCTGGTTCTGTGGTGGGAAAACAAATCAGAGAGGCCGTGACACTGAGGCTGGTAAGCAGGAAGCTGCGTTTATTTCTGGAACGCCGGCGTTCGGCCCCGTGGATGCCAGTTGCAAAGGGCTGGGCTTCGATCGCAGTCGGGTTTCAGCTGATATATGTTTTACATTGGCTTCGGGGGAAGGGGCTTTTCATGGTGGAAGGTTTTGTACTTTCTGTAACAATAGCACAAGCTTGTGGTTTTGGCTGCAGGCACTGAGCCCGGCGTTTGCACTTTGCAAACTGGAACATTTTCACTGTGATATATGTTTGGAAGCGTTTTCTAAAAGCCCCTGACCACGGTTCTGAGGCGATCAAGTAATGTGACAGGAGACCTAGGATCTTGAACTGAGTCGAGTATCAAGATTTAACTCGTGAGGCTGTCCTTTAAGCTGAACGTGTCGGGTCTGCATTCTCTCATTTCTCCATCATGGTTACGTCGCGATGGACCGGGATGTTGCCTAGGCTGGGGCTGTGTGCTGTTGGCCCCTTATCAGGGTAGGGCAGAACCCTTCGAGAAGGCTTCCTGTGAGTGAAGGGACAGAGTGGGAGATTAGGAGTGGGTTAGAGCATTGCTTAATTTTTTTTCTTCCCACTTTCATTTTGAAGTGGTTCTAGATTCACAGCAAGTTGCAAAAGCAGCGCAGCGAGGCCCTGTGTGTCCTTCTCCAGTTCCCCCACTGGTAACATGTGACGTAACCGTACATGATCACAGCCAGGAAACGGACACCGGCACAATCCACAGACTTTAGACCCACGAGCTGTACGCGTATGAGGTTCTGGGCCGTTGTGTCCACGTGTGCAGCTTTGTGGAATCACCACCCCAACCAAGGAACAGAACTCTCTGTCCCTGCAAAGGCCTCCCTCTGGCCACCCATTTCTAGTTCCAGCCTTCTGTTTGAGTCAAGTCCGCACAGTGACTTGAGGCTGACAAGTAAAGACCTGAAGTGACAGTAGTAACGACCAGCAATGTACGTCTGTGTGTCAAGGGAGAAAATCGTGCAGTGCCTAGAATGGGCTGAGCCCTGTCTCCCCCTCCCCACAGGTGCAGGCCTGGCTGGGGTGGAGCTGCTCTCTGTCCACCCTGTTGGCGGTGGTTGCGCTGGCCTACACGGTGGACGACGCCTCTGCTTCCCATCCAGCGGCCGTGGCTGTCTACCAGGCCGTCCACCGGACCCTGTGGGCGGCGGCCGTGGGCTGGGTCCTTCTCGCATGCCAGGAAGGCTATGGAGGTATGACACGGCAGGGGGCTTCGCTCTAGGACTCATGCACTGTTCTTTTAAAGGAGACAAGTTGAATACACAGGAGTGTAATGGAAGGGCTTCTATTTGCTGGAGTGGTTTATGATTGACAATGACTCAAAACTTCAATTTGTCTGTATCCTTGAGGAAAACACCCCACATGTTGTTTTCGATTTCACAGGGATTTATGAACAAATGCAGCTTCTGAAAGAAAAAGCTGCAGCCTCTCTGATGAAGCCCGTGTAGAAGTTGGAAGAGCTGGGCATGGTGGCTCATGCCCGTAACCCCAGCACTTTGGGAGGCCAAAGGCAGGAAAATCGCTTAAGCTCAGGAGCTCGAGACTAGCCTGGACAACATAGCAAGACCTTGTCTCTATAAAAAATAAAAAAATGAGTTGGGCATGGTGGCACATGCCTGTAGTTCCAGCTACTTGGGAGGCCGAGGCAAAAGGATTACGTGAGCCCAGGAGGTTGAGGCCTGCAGTGAGCCATAATCTCCAGCCTGAATGACAGAGTAAGACCCTGACTCAAAAGGAAAAAAAAAAAAGTTGGAAGAGAACTCAGGGAGAGTAATGTCATGAGAAAAAAAAACTACCAGTGCCGGGGGGCAAGCCTTCTGGTCATACTCCCTGGAGCCTCAGTTTCCCCATAGGAGGTTAGTTGACGAAACGCTAAGATCTTCTTCCATGATTGAGTTGGCTTTCAACTTGCAGGGAGCCAAGCAGATAAAGAAAGGGCTTAAGCTGGGCTCGGTGGCTCAGCCTGTAATCCCGCGCCTTGGGAGGCTGAGGTGAGTGGATTGCCTGAGCCCGCGGGTTCGAGACCCACCCGGGCAACTTGGCGAGACCTCATCTCTACAATAAATCAAAAATTAGCCGGGCATGGTAGCACAAGCCTGTAGTTCCAGCTACTTGGAAGACTGAGGTGGAAGGATCGCCGGAGCCCAGCAGGTCGAGGCTGCAGTGGCCGGGAGCATGCCACTGCACTCCAGCCTGGGTGACAGAGTGAGACTCCAACTCAAAAAAAAAAAAAATCAAGATTGATTGGTAGGTGGATGAGGAAGTGATTGCTTAGATAAATTTTTGGAAAATATGTGTCTGCCTGATGACCTTTAGAAAAAAATAACATTTGATTAGGAAGTGGTTGGTTAAGACTCTCAGACTAGAAGGGATCTTGATGGTTCACTGAATCTTTTCAGCCATCTTTGGTTGGTGCCAATGTAGACCATGCTCGTCTGGTTACACTCAAAGTTGTCTTTCTCTGAGTTGCCAAAGTTATTTTCTTTGCTTTTTTTTTTTTTTTTTTAGTTGGAATCTCACTCTGTCACCCAGGCTGGAGTCCAATGGCATGCTCACGGCCATCCCAGCGTCACCCTGCTGGGCTCTGACGATCCTTCTGCCTCAGCCTTCCAAGTAGCTGGAACTACAGGCTGGCGCTACCATGTCTGGCTAATTTTTGGTTTATTGTAGAGACGAGGTCTTGCCAAGTTGTCCGGGCTGGTTTCGAATCCGCGGCCTCAGCCAATCCACTCGCCTCGGCCTCCCAAAGTGCTGGGATGACAGGCTGAGCCACTGAGCCCGGCCCAGAGTCATTTTCTGACCCTGGTTCTCCTTCAGTTAAAACCCTTTGAGGTTGCTCTGTCACCTACAGATGGTCCTCAAACTTGAGTATTATATGGGCCCATTCTAAAGGAGTACAAAGTCTGACAATTAAGTTTGGGAACTTATCACTGTGCTCTTATGTTGGCAGCACTGTGCAAACAACTTGGTAAGGTTTCATAACCTCGGTATATCAGCATCTCACAGCTGTGTTCGTGTTGACATGTGGCAGTGTTTTGCTGAGTGATGTTCATTATTGTTGTTGCATGTTTTTGTGTGCTGTCATGAGAGTGTCAGAGCTTGAATGAGAGCAATGAACACACATTAAATTTCATGTTAAACTTGGCAAGAGTGGAAGTGAAATCAGGGGCATGTTAGTCCAAGTTTATAAAGATAATGTCATGAAGAAAAGTGCAGTGTACAAATGGATTAAACAATTTTCTGCAGGGAGAGAAAGTGTCACTGATAAAGAGAGGCCAGGAAGGTCAGTAGCGAGCAGGATTGATGAAATCATTGCAAAAATATGTCAAATTGTATGTCAAAAATCATCAATTGACTGTGAGAAGCATAGCAACCAAAAATAAGCATCGCCGGGCTCGGTGGCTCAGCCTGTAATCCCGTGCCTTTGGGAGTCTGAGGTGAGTGGATTGCTTGAGCCCGCGGGTTCGAGACCCGACTCATCTCTACAATAAATCAAAAAATTAGCCAGGCG